TGGTTTCACGACGCCAATTTCTTATGGTTTTTCAGTTGCAACCTAAAGTTTTGAAAACTTAGTAGTACGATATGTCATATGAAACCATTTCGTAAGAGACCCACAATGCTCTTTTTCAATGGCACATAATTCTTAGCATTGCCAGCGGACATTTTCTTGATATCGATTATTTCCCATCTACTTCCTTTGTTGGTCAAACAACATATGATAATAGCTTGGAGATAGGAGGCATGGCTTATTTTATTGATGATGAATTCCTTATCTGGAAAGTTCGCATCGAAAACCTTTAGGCTTAGATTTGGATATTTTGAGATATTTGGAGAATTCCGGGCACTCAATGTGAACACCAACTTGTTAATATGAACTGGTATTGATTTGATTGATACATTTATGGAGTAATGACCTAATCGCTTGGCATGATTCATTACATCGCCAGAATGTTGTACTGCTGAGCACGACTGACTTGCAGTGTGGTTGCAGTCAATCACCTCAACAAATTGAGAACCACTGTAAAGTAGTACTGAAGCATCGAGAAAATTACAGCCACTGTGTGGATATTTCCAGAAGAAATCGAATACGACATCAAGTTCATCGGGTTCCGCCCACAATAAGACTAGCAGGTATATTGTACTGTTGGGCTGAACATGATAGTCTTTTAAATTAACCTGAGAACTTCGTTGTTCTGCCCTCTTGCCTGCATGGAAAGAAAACATAAAATTATCTAAAAAATAAATGAAGTGTCATATCAACTGGACAGCTAATCAAATATGGATTGTTACATCACATTGCACGATTTGACGTCATAGTGTATATAACTAACGCGCAAGCGTTAGCCCGCAACCAGCCCGCAAAATACAGGGCCTCTGCCTGCTCTTCAACACCGAAATTTTTATTTCCATATGTAATCATATAATGTTATGTAATTTTATAATAAGTTCAATTTCACTCCTATTATCAAACTTACGATATTCAGATTTTGATAACACACATCAAGCTCAGTAGTTGAAATGCACAGTACCTTCAGCTCAATGTCGTTGTACAACAGGGATTGCTTGTAACAAGAAATCTTAAATTCTTCCTCGACAATATCCTTCACACTTAGAATGGTTTGATTGGGATTGTAAACAATAGTAGTACACTCTCCAGTAAAAGTAGTTATCACTATGCGAGATGTTGACTCATCATCAGTTGGACTAAGGGATTGACTGGCTGTATTTACGTCATCACCGGTAGCAATTGTGGGAAAAAGGAATTCCAAAGACTTGACATATTGCTTGTACTGCATGTTGTCTTCTGTAACTTGGACATCGCATTGAGAACACTTATGGTGATCTCTCACTGACGCTGTTACACACTAAAAAAATATGGACATGAATCTATGTCAATGAGTCAAGTAGAGCAAAGGTAGAGCAAGTCTTGAAAGGTGGACAATTAGGACATAGCTTTTTGGGCATAGCTCTTAATTACCGTGCCAAATACAGCGAAGAGCCCTCAATGGTGATTATACAACAAGACACTCTATCGAGCGTTTAGTCGCTGGGGCTATTAAAATAGAGGCTTGTTTATTCTGTGACATCTGCCTACACAGACAAATTAAGTCGTCGATTCATGCACAAGTAGGTTAGTAGCTAGAACGAATTTTTACTGCCGCCACCTACTACTACAGATTACAGTGGTATGATTTTAAAACAACATAATTTAAAAATAACATAACGTGTACGTTTGCATGCAGTCCTTAACCTGTGAACCTGAGAATTTCGGTCTTCGCTATAATATTTGTGAGCCGACTTTTAGCCTGTGCTCTGTAATCGACTTTAGCCATATAGTCTATAGGATATGATTAATATTAATATGATAGGATATGATTATTATTAATTGTTATTCAAACCAGTGCAAAGTGTCTATTGGTGTGCCTCAGGGTAGTGTTTTGGGGCCCTTGCTTTTTTTCGTGTATATAAACGATCTCGTCGTGTTTACATCATACGCAAGCATCTCTATATTTGCAGATGACACGGCGATCTACTGCTCAGCCTCTACTCCTAGTGAGCTTCAGACCAAATTGAATGAAGACTTGATCCATCTAAAATCTTGGCTTGACGAAAATAGACTATCCTTAAATTTTTTAAAAACTAAATTTATGCTGATAGGTATTAGGCAACGATTGAAGAGTTTTGGTTCCCTTGAACTGTCTATTGATGATCATATTCTGGAAAGAAAAGATAGCTATAAATATCTTGGAATTATTATCAATGAGACGCTTTCTTGGGCTGACCATATTGACTATGTTAGAGCTAAATTGGCTAAGAGACTTGGGATTTTCAAACGCATCAAACATCTACTGCCATTCCATGCAAGGCTTTTGGTGGTAAACAGCTTAATTTTGCCTCTTCTCGATTATGGTGATTTAGTCTGGGGTGACAGAAACAATGTATCGCTGATGAATGATCTGCAAATTCTTCATAATAAAACTGCAAAGTCTGTGTTGGATCTACCAATCGATGCTTCTAGTAGCCAGGCTTTAACAATGTTGAAGTGGTATCCTTTGTCGTATAGAAGACAATTCCACAGATGTAGTTTTGTTTATAAAGCCTTGAACAATAATTAATGTTGACTTTAATATGGAAGAAATTAAAGGGAGTGATTTACACTGTCATGATACAAGAAAAAAACAGTTAGTAAGACTCCCCCTTTGTAGAACCAATTGGGGACAACAAACATCGCACTATATGTTTTTTAATGCATGAATGGAATAATCTTCCGCCATTTGTTAAAGATTCTAGTAACTTTTTAGCTTTTAAAAACAAATATGTCTCAGTATGTAACGAATAACTTGTTATCTTAGTACTTTAAGTATGGACTTAGTTGACCATTTAATTAACTTTTGAACTTTCTTAGGATTTCTAATTAATTAATTTTCATAATCTTGTTGCATGCTGTTTTCTGTTTGGAGTAGATATATATTATAGTCTGAATAATTATAGTCAGTACCAGTATTTTATGTAAATAATTATTTCCTTCTTATATTTGAGGTCCCTTATGAAAACTATCTTTGATGATAAGGCTTCCTCACAAAAGATTGTTTAAAAAAAAAAGATATGATGGTCTCGAATCCCGCCAAACTTCAGAGCTACAAAATTGAAGGCCTTTGTTTGATGTTGAACTGTACCTTGCCGTGCACAAATCCTTTGTCTCAACTTCATTAAATATTATTCATCGTGGTTGCACGTTTCATCATAGCTATCCCTATTGCGCGGTTACTTATTACCGTGAATAATTTACAGTTTACAAAACGTTTTTTGGGCCACATGCGGTTAGCGTGTTGCTTCTAACAACTGAAAAAATTAAGCCCAGTTAGATGGGGATGTCATGGTTGATGTTTCTATATGTTTTCAAGGTTTTTCGTACTATTTACAACATGAGCGACCGTGTTGTATCGAATATACGCGGAACACGCGACTCGTAACACGCGGAAACACACGGATTTATTTATTTAAATAAATAAACGACTCATCTTATGAGTTCATTGGCGAAGTAATTTTTAAAAATAAACGTTGTCTAAGCCGAGAAAATCAAAGTTAAAGTTTATGTAAATCAACATGAATCTGTATCACATATATACAGATACAACACGCTTATGATTTTTCTGTGTTTTCTTCATGAATTATTAATGAGTTTTTTAATCCAGATTTATCGAACCAGTACCAAAGGTGGAGATTCAGTCCCAAAGATGGAGTCTCCAGCCGAAAGCTAGCCTGCAAGGCTGGCGCTCGCTAATTGGGTTAGGGTAGCCTGCAAGGCAGGCACTGCCCTACCTGCAGACCAAACTCGTACCCAGGGCCTGCCCGCACAATTTAAAAAATCGGGCGGGCAGGCCCTGAGTACGAGGTTGCCTGTAGCCTAGCTCAACATTTATCTGGGGTGCGCACCAACTGTGATTGGCTGATTTGTGTCATGTGGTTTTAGATAAATGCAATGTATCCACCCGGGTAACAAGTGAAAATTGTTGCCCGCCCCTACTGGGGCCGTACCGGCTACGGTAAATAAATAACAAAATGACGATACAACTCGCAAGTTTATAAACTACTTATAACCTTAACTACAATTTTTCACAACCTTGTGTTGGGATGTAAAAGATAAGAAAAATACACAACAGGCAACAGCATATGCTGCCGAAACGGTCTAAGTAGGTTCTTTTAATTTTAAATTAAACTCATTTATACTATATAGTTTTTGTTATGAAATTGTAATTTCTTGTTCACTTAATGTCTGTTTCCTCGGGAAATAGTTTCGACGTCTTCGGGTCGGGAAACATTGAGACTCTCGGGAAAACAAAAAACTCGAGAGCGGACATTAAATTAAGTGTATAATATATGTAAGAAAGTATAAAGTTTGTAACTTAACTAAACTTAACCTCACGATTTCTTCTTAACCTCACGAAGTCTGTTCACCTTGAATAAACGCTCCATGTATGTATATATAGATATACCTACAAGTTGAAGTAGCCTTTACTTACCCTTAGACAATGCAGCAATGGATGTTCAGTGCACTCTACCGTGAGATGTTCATGTGGAAACTCATCAGATAATTTGTCTTCACCACATTGATGACAAATCATCACTACAGACTCAATATGCCGTAAAATGAATACAAGAGATTTAAATGCCCGACTGCAGAAACGGCGGAATTCCTCAGGACGCCAGAGAAAACCTGTATTAAACTTGTTTCAACCCTACAGGACACGTCATCTCCAGTGTTAAAATTTCAACAGCTATTATTATAAAAGGGCGTCCTGCAGAGTTCCAAGAAGACATTACATCGCCTCTTTCACAATACAACAGAATTCGTGGGGCTTCAGAGGTTCTTGGCGTCCACTAAGCATTCAAGCTGGATAATCGTTTCCGATATCATGCAGTAAAGACTAAAGTCTGTAAAGGCTTGGTGTAATATAAGGTATTTTACTTTTTTCAGTTCTCACTAAAGGCGGCGCGGTGAGGACGGATACAATTACAAAGAAATTCATATTTGAGAAATTGAGTAATTTAATAGACAACTTGCATGTTAGACTAATTTTTTATTTAGGCAAAAAAAAGTAAATTCCCGTAAAGAACTTATCAAAATCAGTAAAATTGCAAAATTTGGTTACAAAATGTTGTAAAAAACAGAAAATATAGCCTTGCAAAATTTGCATATTTTCAGTATGTTTTGTCTTACGTGCGGAAATTGTTACCATTTTTGAGCCGAAAATGGTAACAATTTCCGCACGTAATACAAATATACTGAAAATATGCAAACTTCGCAACGCTATATTTTCTGTATTTTGCAACATTTCGCAACCAAATTTTGCAATTTTACTAATTTCATTATGTTCTTTTTAACTGTTGCGTTTAGTTGCGTTTGATTCCCTTCTTTTTACTTAGATCAAAATTTAGTCTAATTTGCAAGTTGTCCATTCCCACGATCGAGAGTTTTAGACGCAAAGTGGCTCAGAGTTAAATTCATTCGATTTTTTTTAATAAACGAAACGTTTTATTTAAAATAATCTATTTGAACTTTGAAGGTGATCGGAGTATATTTTGGCCTTTGACTTTGTATAATGCCAGCTGTCAGAGCCTCAAACCTGTCGCGACATTTACAGGTTTTCACGGCATTCCCAGGTATTGCTTTCGAAACTTTGACACTGTAACAGTTCAGAGCTTTATGCGTTTATTATGATCGTTTTCTTGTCTTTCCTAAGTATTTGGTTGCAATCCAGACCACCTATACGAAGTCAGAGGCCTACAGGTGTTTGGTTTCATTTTCACATTGAAGTGACGTTGATATACATTTGGAGTTGTTGATATTAACCAAAAAATATGTCATGCAATATGCATTTGTTCTCACTACTGCAATGATAAAAAACCAATCTTCGTATATTGAATATTCTGGTGAAAAGTGAAGCACTTTATTCGCGATTGGTGCTGGATCAATATTATTCCTTTAATTTATTGTAGTTGAGATTATATAGCCTATATATACAGTGTAGGTCCAGTAATGCCTGAACCATTACAGAATGTAACTTTTTTGTATACCTGACACTGAAATATACATTTTTTCTTCTGCATTAATATGATGGTCTGGAAACTTAACAGAGGTCATTGTATTATGTTTTTTCTGATTTTAATTATGTTAATTTATGCATAGTTATGGTAATTGATCTCATTGTATGTAAATTTTGTATTTTCGTATACTGATGAAGTAATCGTCCAATGGAGATAACCGAGATGAAACGTGCAACCACTATTAACAATATTTAATGAAGTCTCACAAAGGATTTGTGCACGGTGAAGCACTTTGAAACCATCATATCTTGACAGACTATGGTGTATATATACTAATAGGTGTCACAAGATGACAATAGCAGCAGAATTGGTAGGGGGTTCTGGGGTATACGACCCTTTTCAATTTACAATTTAATTTTTCAAATAGCCATTATATTTAATATTCATGACACTGAACGCATATGCTCCTTTTGTGCTTGGTTTTGGAAATTGGTACACTAGTATTATAATAAATACTAATAGTTGCATGCTTGGATGGCTATAACATGATTGCAGGCAAGGTTGAAATACAAGTATTTCTTCTTTTATAAGTGACACTACCAATGCCTTAATCAAATTATCAGGCTTGAAAGCAGAGGCGCCGGAATATCGATAATTGGGGGGCAGATATTCATATATTCGTGTTCTGACCAATTAATTTCTTTTGAAATCGATTGTTTTTACAGTCTGTGAACACGAATATATGAATATCTGCCAAGCCCCCCCCCCCCCCCCCCCCCC